AGAACTGGAACAACTCTCAATTCACCTGGTGATGGCCATTTTGTTGGTTTTTGGGTATGTTCTGCTGAGGTGAATCCACATCAGCTGCGACCACCATCATCACCAATAATAAAGCAATGAACCTCTTGTTTACTTTTGAAATTGTTCATTCTCATTCAAAGAATGCTTCTTTCAGCTATTCTATAGATAGAAAACAGTACTAAAAAGTGAATATTCCAATCTTGGAAAACTAAACTAAATAACATTACCATTGAGGTCAGAGGTTCTTTGTGGTTGATTCACTTTAACCCAGTCGTCCACTGTTTCTTTCCATTTTCTGCCACTCAAATTAAATACCAATTCCCAAACCGAAACACATTGAGTCGAATTGCATGGATTAAACTAAACTAAAAAGAGTTAAGCTTTTAACCATTTTTTACAAGAACACCTGACAAGCTGCTTCACCAATATACGAACTTCGTTGGATGGATGCTTCCTCAATCTATTCACATGCCTTCCTATGTCAGTTTCCTGCCCAACAAACTCAATTTTTTCATTTTGAAAAAGAATATGGAAAAGAAGGATGACATAAAAGAACATATCAATCATTAAGCTTTCATAAAATTTAATTGGCTATTTAGTTTTCCTGCAACAGAGTAATATTAACACTTCACCTTGAGAGCTTGGAAAGTGATATCCATATCTGACAAGTTATGCAGCAATTCCACTACATCATCTTCACTCTACACATCAAAATCCAAACAAACAGAACAAACCCATTGATAGCTACCCAAAAGTCCATAACTAAAGAGTACAAACAAAGCGAAGCAAAAGAAAAAAAAAAAAAAAAAAAAAAAAAAAAAAAAAAAAAAAACCTGGTTTGGATCTTCGAGCTGCTCTTTGATGGTGAGGATTCTTGTCTGCTCATCATCAAACAACCCACCGTATGGATCGACATCCTCACCTTCTTCTCCGCCGCTGAAACTCCGATGGTTTGACTCCGGAGTCAACGGGCTTTTACGAAAATTCCCATCCAAATTCCGATCAGTTTTATCGTCGTCGTCATCATGATCATCACCATCATCAACCACATCGAATCTCTTATTGTTACAGTCCGGGCTGTTAACTTTATCTTCAACATCATCACTATTCGTATAATTATTGGTATGATGAAAGCGGTGGTCCCGAGCTTCGTCGTCGTCTCCGCCACAGTTCCGGCAGGTCCGGGCGGCGGGGGCGTAGAGCGACTCGACGATTTTATCCCTCCGGCGGCGCAGCTCGTCGCCGTGGTCCGAGCTGGCGACTCGAATCGCCGCCTCTATCATCTCCCAAATCCCGACCCTCGATCCCGACAAGATCGCCCGGAATTCATCCGAATCCATTGAAAAATGGCGGCCCCTTCAGCCCTTCTCCGCAGCTCAGCGAGAAGAGAGAGACGGCCAGAGAGGAGAATAAAATTTTAAAATAAAACAAAAGTAAAATAAAAACGAGAGATTGGTTGGTGTTTAGGCAATCTACGTCATTGGGGGAAGCACGTGAAACGACGCCGTACTACGGTTTGTTCCTTGTTTCCTGCAGAGCTTAGAAATCAGATCTGAGAAAATCCTCTGACCCAAAACAGAGGCTCCAAGATGATGACAAAATATATTTATTATTTTTGTTATTGATATTATTATCTTTGTCCCAAATGATTTTTTATATCCGACTTGCCCAAAAAGGCCACTGTCAAGTAACTGCGGTATAGATCTGTTACCGCGCGGTAATAATTATGATCATGCATTCAAAATTAACTTACCCAGCTAGTGTATGCTGGATCACTTGCCGCGAAATACAAAGGAGCCCACTAGTCATGTTAATTAACTAATTTCGTAAGTACTTCAGGAAAAAAGAAAATCATTCCACTTAAGGGAAAAAAAATTAATGATTTTTGTGATGTAAAGGGCAAGGGTGAGATATAAAAATTAATAAATAAGTGTGACGTCGTAGAAGAACAATATAATAATGATTGATAATTATGAATATGAAATGAACAATGAGTGAATGAAAATTATTTTAATTTTTCGATATAAATTAATAATGTGGATTAGCAATATCATCACCAAATTAGTCCATAGTGACTAAAATTAGCTTAATTAGCGAAATTCACAAGTTAAGATTATTAACTTTCTATGATATTTGGTGCATGCTTGGGTACAAATTTTTTAAAAATCTAATCATTTTTAACCAATCGTTTTTTTAATTCAATCTAACTCAATTTTAACTCAATCCCACTATTCTCAATATTATTAATATAATTAAATAATACCACTCAATAATTCTTACACATTATATCAACTTTAATTTACTATCCATCTACTCACATAATTTTAACTATCATTTAATATCATCTCTCTCCTACTTTTATATGAAATCAACTTTAAATTTTATTTTAATAAAAACTCAAAATCCCACTAACTACTAATCATACCATTTTTTTTCAAAAATTAATAATACCAAATCAAAAAATCAAAACAAAATCAAAACATCTTACATCCATTTCGACATCCATCTTATATCCATTAGCAAACGATTAAAACTCAAGCATATACTATAAATGTAGCAATTGAATATGCATGACTTTGTAAATTACATTACCACGGTTTTTTTTTGTTTACGAGTATGCAACATAATGTGATCTATATTTAGTTTCCCAGATTGACAGATGTTGTTGGTTAAAGTAACAGATAAAGAAAAGATTTTCGTCGCACATGAATATGTAATTGTTTTTATCGGTTTTGCTATGAAGTCAATAATTGGCTCCATAGTGGAGCCAACCTTCTATATGCAACAAGTAAACCTATCATATTCGAATTTGACCGAGTCAAGTCAAGTGTTGTTCAAGCGACGGAAAAACAACGTGTTTATTTTCAGCTGATATAAATTATAAACATGCTCATTCCCAACATATGCTTTTTCTTTCCTTTTATTTTTTCCTGTTTCGAAGCAAGTTCCCCGAAGCATGTTCTAAGAAATAGAAATAGGCTTCTCTGTTGAATACAAAGTTAAGAATAGCTGCATAATCCTTACACAGGTTTTACACTTCAGCAAAACTCTACTTATCAAAACAAGAACTCCTTTAATTTCAAAACATAACTATCCCTTTCATTTAGTAAATTGCAGCACATTTACAGGAGAGCTTATAATCCAGAAACATAGAGCAGATAATTTAAACGCGGTCTAAATCTTCTTATAGACTAAGCTACAAGCACGAATCATCATTAACAGAGGCAGCCAACAAAAAAAATAGAGACACCAAAGACCAATTTATTCCATCAGAACAAAAGAAATCCAAGCTAAAAACACAGCAAAACNAGAGCTACACCATAAATAAATAAATAAATAAATCTTTGTGCTGTCTCGTGTTCTCAGTTCTTACCATATTCATCCGAGAACCCTCGATTCAACACTCGATCTCTCGCCAGATTTTTTCAAGCTGACCAATATACCCTCCACCAGCTCGTCTTTGTTATCAACAACATGCTGCTGCTTCGACTGTTGTTCAGCCACAAACGAGTAGTTCTTCCCCGGCTTGAATTTCTTTGTGGGGCCCATTGCTTGATTCTCGCTCCTCAGCCCTGGGCCTGTCTTGTTGGGCCCGCCTCCATCAGAAGACACATCAGGGCCCGTGGGCCCGCCTTTCTTCCCATCACAGCCTTTATTTCCATACCATGTGTCCAGAATCTGCAGCAACGAGCTTTCCTCCTCAGGCTTCGGTTTTGACTCGTTTCCTAATGGCTCGTCTTCAGAATCCGAGAAATCTTCGTCCTTCACCGGATCATAACTGCAATCGGCCCGCTTGCTGGGCAGGCCCGAAACACACTTCCCCTTATTTCGGCCCAAATCATCAACTGGGCCCAGCTCATCCCACGAAGAGTCAAAATCATCGTCTTTCTTGCTGCCGGAGTTTTTTTTGGGCGGGCTGGTGGGGCACTTGAATGGGCCAGCCGGAAAAATTAAGTTGGACTCGATTTTCACGCCAGGCATGATCTGAAGGAGATTCGCCAGTTTATCATAGCCGAGCTTCTGCAGGTCCAGAGTGTACCCATTTCTTTCGAGAAAAAGTTTTCTAAAGGAACCCAAGTTAAAACCTTCGGGATATTCCTTCACGATATGGTCCACGAGCTTCTGGCAGTCGGCTAATAGCTCACTTCTTGTTTTGGTCGAAAGGTTTTTATGAACTGTGTGCTGTGGTGGGACTCCTGTGTGGGGAGGGTTGTTTTGGTAATTTCTATCCAAGGGAGGGCTCGGGTTTTTGGCAGAAAAGATTTGACTCAACCCGTTGTTGTTTGTGGGAGGCGCGCGAGTGAGTTGGAATGGGTATGGCCGGGAGATAAATTCCTCAACCCATTTCTTGTGGGAGATCAAGAGGTCGACTAAGTGGAGGAGTTCGGTTTTAGAGAGATATTGTAGAGAGGGAGGTCCGTGTTTTTGTAGATTTTGTGCTAGATTATCCCTAAAAATCATCACCAGGAAAAAAATCATATGAATTACTAGTCATTCTGTAACGTGCTGCACACGAAATATAATGAACAATAAAATAAAAATAAACTGTATGAAAATGGCAATGCAAGAATTCCCTAGAAAACAGCCCAATTACACGTTTGTTACTTAGAGTAACAGATTAACCATTTCGAATTAGAAAAAATCATGATCTGACATCTGATAGAATCAGATCGATCCAAGTCGGCAGAAGTTCATTTGAATCTCAATCCCAGTATTAGTAGTAAAGACTGACAAGAGCATGCAAGAACATTATGCAGGGATCATGAACAGAGTCTTCAATCGAATTCAAATTTGATACGAATTTGGATATTTTCAACAACTTAGAAATTAATAAGTCAAGGGACCCTTGAAAAAGATTGGGTCATGACCTACTCAACTCAGTGGTTGGAGTATTGCTTTCATACGGCGAGAGTCATTGGTTCAAAATGACTCTCACTGTATGAAATCAGTACTCTAACCATTGAGTTTAGACAAATAAAGCTGCAGCATGTAATTATTACATTTTAGAATTTCACACTAACAGAACACACTCATTCAGATGGAATTCTTGCTTATGGTCAGCCCTTAACTTTAGAGGTACTAGAGGTCCCCATATCCAAGAATAAATTTAGTTCATTCCAATTTCCACATCTTTTATACTTTATGCAATCATGTCGTCAACAAATATATTATACTAAAAAATGATAACAATGAATGCCTCAAGTTCAACACACTCCTCAAACATTTTATCACTATTATTAGCTAGTGGGTAGAAAATTTTAAAAATGATAGCACATCCAGTCACACCCATAGTCAACTACAATAGTCCGACTTAATGAAACGGTATGAAGAAATCAATATTCAACGAACACATACGCCATGACAGCATGAAGCAGATGTATGATAAAGCTGAAAAAAAAAAAGAATCACATAAATTACCTGGTCCTTGACTGGGAAAGAGTAGCCACCCCTTGTGGTGTGTCTATAAACGATTCTAATTCCTTCCAAAAGGACTCCCTGGAAAAAATCTCAAGTTGATTAGCGTCAACCTTCATTGTAGCAGCAGCAGTTTCACCACCTTCTTCAAATTTATTATCATTTTCCATAGAACTAGAAAATTTAAACCAGCTCATGATCTGATTGAATAAGCTGGCGTCTTGACTGGACACATCAGCAACATCAACATCACCAGGCCCAGCATTTTTCCTATAAATCAGAGCCTCATGACTCGAAGGTGAAAACAAAGCAGGACGCACAAATTCGTAAGGTTGGTTCCAAATTATAGCTTTTTCGCAAGTAGTATCTTTCCCGCCATCTGTCTGAAAGTTTTCACGACTAGAATCTTCATCTCCACTCCCAAACAACACTATCCATATCCTTCTCATAATTCCAGGTTCTGAATTATTTACCGCAGGCACTTGATTCTCATTCTTTTCGGGAGATTCTTTAATTTCTTCACCCACAACTTTCTCTGGTAGCTCTGAAATTTTAACTTTCTTATCCTGCTCTCTTATCTCTTGAGCTCTTCTTCTCGCTATAACCTCCTTCCGTTTTTCCTCCTTTTTCTTGTCTTGTGAATTCACAGGAAGAGAACCTTTGGTTTTCGTCTCTTGCACGACTGTCGACGAATAAAAATCATTCTGATTTTCTTCCTTCCGAGCCTCGAAAAAGTTTGCTGACTGAGCTTTGGGTTCCAGAGCCGGGGGTATTATCGACTTCTCAGTCACATTATCAACACAACTACTCTCACCACTTCCAATATCAGATTCTGCACATACACCTGAAACATTCTCATCGAGACACTTATTATTATTATTCCCCAAACGCCTCACGGTACACTTCCCGTCACTCCCCGAATGAATCTTCAGAACACTCGGCATTGCTTGAAGAAAACGAGAAAATTTCTTGTGCCCGTATAAATCTTTATCGATGGCTAAATTACTCTTCGACAACTCCGTGCGGAGTTGCGTCAGAGACATTCCATCGGGAAACAAGTCGAGAATCTGCGAAACATGCTTCGACACATCCTTTGGTATCTGCCTGATTTTGGGCTCATCGGCACTAGCAGCAAGGCACGGGTTTTGCTCAGTAGAAGCAAACGGGTCCTCAAGTGGGGCCCGATAATGCCCGTAACAAGAATTAAAAGGGCC